GTACGGCCAACATATCCTGCTGCGCAGGAGCAGGTGACTGAATAAATACCCATCGATGTCGCCTGCAACGGGAGTTGGACCTTACTTTTCAAGCTCACGAGGCGACAGTACGTGAATCTTACGCGTAACTTTGTCGCGGGAAAAGCACTGGTGATCGAGGTTGCTTGCCGTGTCCCCTTGAAAAGGCAGTCGCATAAATAAGTCTTTATTTTCTGCAGTTGCCATGGTGGGCTTTGAGGCGTTCTCTCCTTTATTTCTGAGGATAAATATGTCTGGGTATCCGTGTTCCTGGAGTGTTTTTCCTTCTTAAATGTTGTTCTTCAGTTAGTCGACGAAGCATCGTGCGGATGTAAAAATGAGCAAATCGGCATCACCGATGAGCGGACTTCCACGTGCAAACCTAATATGCCAAAGGTACAGAGTGATACAGTTTTTGTTACCTTATTTGAGACAAAGGGCACTTGCCCTTGAGCCTCTTGCCCCTATAAATCGTAACAGCGGCAGTTCTAAAGATTCAGGCGCGCACTGCACCCACTGACGCAGGTTCGCAGCAAATGGATATCAAGTGTGTAAATAAATATCTGCAGGGAAGTGCATTACAGGCGTTCTATCGGACGTCGTAGGGGCAGAGGGATGACGACGCAGGCTGCATGATCCGGCCAATTAAAAAAACGCCATCGAACTGCAGGACACACTCAAGGCCTCTAACAATTCTGTGGCGCAGTTGCTTGTACTTGAGGGGAAACAAATCAAGTTTGACCAGTGCGATTTTGTATAACAGGGCACCAAGTCAGTTATTTAACGGCATGCTCCAAGTGAGACCGAAAGAGTGTTGCGTTAGTCCAACGGACTACTTCCTAGTTAGTAGCATCTGTGTCTTCCGTTTAGCTGCCTGTAGGCCATCTCTTCTTCGAAATATGAAGGGGCTGCCTTTCAGTGTATCAAAAAGAGTCATTCTGTTTGGAAGTCTTGGGGAGACAGATTTACTACGATTATGATTTTGGAGTCGACTAGCTCACAAGTAGCTCAGGCGGTTACGCCTCTCCTGTAGTCTGTGTGTGCTTATCCTGGCCCCGCTACGCGCCACGTGGTAGATGCGCTGGACCAATACTTGGGCCATATCGGATTCTAACTGGGTGTTATCGGATTGCACACCGTAACAGATGCCGACATTTCGAGGTGCGGTGGCAGACCCGGTTGCCGGCAGAAGTCATGCACACTGGGACCCCTGCCGCCCTCCCCTTTGTTGTTGTTGGTTAGAATCCTAGTTAAGTGTTTGTTGCGGACCACGGGGTGTGACCGTACGCCTAAGTACGGGTCCGGCCGTGACAGCCACTTGTGCCCTCTCTCACCTTCGGTCTTCTTGGCCATGTGCGAGAGGAGGAGAGAGTGCGCTAGATGCTGCGTAAGTCCACCGTCACTACAAACTAATTCACGCGGAATTCACCGTCTTTGCTCCAGCTTGCCGTGTAAGACGGTTGAACTGCCGCGTGCCTATACACTTCAGACCTTATGGCTGTACAGCAAACATGACGGCGCTGCAGCCTAGGCTATCGACACCGTCGATGATTTCTACTAGTAGGCGTCAAAACCTAAATCAATTTTAACGCGCAGTACGAGCTATCGCGAGTACAACATCTCGCTCAGAGTGTCGTTATAACAGCCGAAACACAATAATCTGTGCCCTCCGGTGGATTCATCACTGATTCGACTGTCTGTAGGCAGACTTTTTATGGGATGTTTAGTTCGTCATTCAGCGTGCTAAACCAGAATACATTCTAGGGACCAACGCCAATCGCAAGACAGCATTTTGCATATTATTTGCAAAAATAAGGCGGTGGCTCGTGATCATTAGTTTTTTTAGCACCGCTTGTCTCGACGCGTGCGTCTAAAATGGGCAGAAATACCTGCAAAACAAAAATTTACACTCGAAAAGTAATCAATAGCTCCAGGCTAATGGCTGCAAGTTTAGGGAAATCAGTTAACACGCCATACAACTAAACTGCTATTTGGGATGGACTTACGTCTTCCCTTCCTTCTGTCGATAGAAGCATTCAGCCTTAATTACGTTCATGCGGATCAACTAGTAAGGCAAACGTGAGTGTCCCAGATGTTTCAATCTGAGGTCGATTTTCGCCATTAATTCCATTCAACTTCATTGCTTGTACGGATTTTGGGTCTAAGAATAGTAAACTGCCGTAGTAAGGCAGATTAGTAGAATACATCGGAGCATCATTTCACACGTTTATAACCGCAGCTGAAATGGTTTTCTAAAATATCCGGCCTCTATCTGTGATTATCGCAGTTTGGGCAGAAAATGCTCAAAAAACCGCATTTGGTCCACAAGCTATCTTTCGCGAGATTGCAAATTAACATCGGGCAGTGCTTTACACATTTTTTTTCTTAAGTTAAAACCTACCACTAATAAGTAGGGATTGTGATATTTCCCCTGTACTGTTTATGGGAATTTCACGACATGTGGTTTCGATAATCTCGAGAACGTTTGGTTGCCAAAAGCCTCTGTTTTGTCATATTTTTCCCGAGAATGTTAAGCATGTCTCGAAAGGATTTCTACGCGGCACTGTGTCCAAGATAAGAGGATCCATTATTAATAGAGCATTTATTTTTTTATTACTCTTAATTTTTCCCGCTGCCTGTCTATTCTCAAAGCCGTGCTATTACAATTATGTGATACATCCTTTGTAACTGCCAGTGCGCATGACTGTATGGAAGATACGGATGAACGAAGCGCAGTTGGATTTAATTTGGCTTGGAGGCCTTCACCTTGACTAGTTAATTGGCTTCTTCTACCGATATATCTTACTTTTGCAATTTTTCTTTTTAAAAATAATATGTCTGTAGTTGTTGACCACAAGCAGTCAATTCATAACAATTTAAACGCCCATTTTTGGACAATGCATGCATCTGCATTGTCTCATTCTTTTTGGGGCAAATTTTGAGTGTTTTCCTCCTTTCCCAAAGCATGCATATTCTGGGCCACTCCAGCTCAATCTGTATTTTCCGTAAATTTATTTGTAACCTAATCGTTTATGCCCAAGAAGTTTTGTGCCGTAGTTTTGTCAAAGAACCCTGAAACTCCGGTCTAGCATTAAAGACTGCAAAAGGATAACATTTGGTGGAGTTTACGTTCCATCCGGTAGGAAAGGTTAGAGCCGTAGCAGTCACAGTCAGCGCTTTGACGCCTGCAATATCCTTAAATACGGTTCAGACCTCCAGTAGACAACAAGTGCAAAGAATACCCATGACGGACTGATTACTGCTGCTCGTCTTCATTCTTAGAATTAGAGTTTATATTGTTGTGCCTAGGCATGCAGTTTGTTAAGACAGACATATCTCGATAGGTGTAGCGGATTAGTAAGACCGCCCGTTAAATAGTCATCGTTGAAAACCCATGTCAATAAATTTTCGTCTTTTTGACAAACCTACTGAGTAGACGAGGAAAAAGTCTTTAAACATTTACCAACCTCTTTAGATTCTTAAAAATAACTTTTCAATAGTTATGATCTTTGGATTTCGAGGTTGTCACTTTCTAAAGACGCGTTTGAATGGTGATTGTCTGAATTTGGGACGGCCGTTACCTCGCAGTTTTTCCACACAAATCACAGACTAATAAAGGACACAATTTGGATTGCCAGAAAATATCCGTTTCTCTGTACCGGTACTGACCAAGACGTCTTTGGCGGGCATTTGGACATCTTTTGCACGACAAGTCATACCACCGACAACGGCACCCTAGTTCAAAGGTTACACAGGGTACACCCCTCGCTAAATTTTACTACAGACAGATAACAAAATCGCGTACCTCTATGTTTTCCTACACAAACAAGACGGTGGGCCTATTCAAAGCAAAATTTTGCGAAAGAAAACCTGAACAGGACAATCTAATAATTTTCAAAGTTTTGATTCTTTAAATCTCAAACAAACTCTGGTCCAGGGATTGATAGCTAGAGCAAGACGCATCTGCGTTGACAAATAAAAGCAACAAAAGTTGCAAAATACAATTTGCAAAAGATTTGCTTACCAAAATAATGAGGAGCATAACAAAAGGCCTAAAATTGCTACTGGAGGAGAGAAGCAGGTGTCTATTATACTACCTCTTCTAGGGGACGCCGGATGCGAATTAGCACGACGGCGTCTAAAGATGGTTATCGCGAACGCCCTCTTGTTAAAAATTTCCCCTCCTAAAGATACATAGGCCGTACAATGCGGTGTCTGGAAACGTGGGTACGCGAACTTATACGCGTTCGGCTAAATAGAGGCAAAAGTAGATGGGCTTGGATATTCATACATGCGCATCTAGCCAATACGAACCACACAGCTGACGTCAAATAAGCCTTTAAGATGGTCTATCAGGTCCCTGCAAGCTACTCTAAACTCCTACGCCGGCGGGTGCTAGCAACAGCCGCAGCAATGGCTCTTTGGTTAATTAATCCAGCCCTAAAGTCCCTGAGAACGTTTCGATGAATAACTAGAATACGCATCATCTTGCTAATTTTGGTATCCAGTGATCGCAAGAAGCCCCAAATAATTAGAAATGTGTAATTGCATCTAACCGGATAAAATAATGTGATACCTTACGTGTTAGTTCAATTTCGTTCCTTTGAAAAATAAGAAAATTCGCCGTGCTCGAGTTGCTTTGCTGCACCCAGCTATCTTGTCAAGGTTTCCGCATTTAAGATGTTGACTCATCATTGTTTGCGCAGATGAACTCGTATATAATTTTCAGAAGTTCATTTTAAAATGAAAGGCGCGACAAAACTGGTGTCCAATAAGCGGCTAATCAGATCTTCTGCAAAGAATCAAATGATGCTTTGCGTCATCCCGCTGGGCTTACGCCCGGTGAATGTCAACCACAACATGTCGAAACCCCGCGATTCTTACATCAATTTGATGCAAAAAGCAAAAGGAAAATATTGATCAAGAACGTTTTATGAGAATTGTAAACAGCATAATGCAGAAGAAAGTAAAAAGTCATGTTATCACATTTTCGATAGCATGTGGTGCAGAAGAGCGAGAGCAGCCAAGAAAAGATATGTTATTCCATTTCCTAAAGAGGAGAAACAGTCGTCATGAATCCACAAGTACGAATGTTATATCGAACTTATTCTCGCTTTTCTGTATTCAGTTGCTAAATTCTTATCGGTTTAGTTCTACGTATTTTCTTCAGTATCAAATATTTCTGGCCACATAAACTAGATATACTAATATGGCTATAGATTTCAAAAATTGATTAAAATGACAGCAGATCTGCGTACCGCCAGTTGTCACGCCGGCCGAAGTGGGAGTTAACCCTTTGGCGTACCGCTCAAAGTCATCAAGAGTAGCCAACGAAGGCAATTCGGTTAAAAACGGCAAAACCCGATGCACATCCCCATCTATTCGATTGGGCTTGTAAAGTTTCAATAAGAGGCAGACGAACGGGTAAACGTCGATTTGGTGGAAGTTATCAACCATGCCAATTGATTTTATCCCTGGACCTGCGGCAACAAGGAATGGATGCATGTCGGACTCTGAGTTGTTGTATCCGTGCATTCCACCTGAAAATAAAAGACATCTTAAGTATACGTTTGCAAAACTCACAAAAGGGTTGGGTATAAATTTATAGGGAATAACTTACGCAAAGTCTCTTCATATGGGTCTGTGGGGTCCGACTGAATCATCCAGCCCAGGTCAGCGACGACAACGATATCGGGCACGCGCGGATTATTTCTGTAGTGATAAGACGCTGGAATGTCTGCCTTTTTGTAGACCGTGGCATGCGTAAGGTTCTTTTTAAGTCTTTGGTAGATTTCCTCAACGCTTGCTGAAACGCGTTATTTCGGATTTTATACAGAGTACGCAAAAAAGAAAAGATTGCGAAACAATGCGAGTTTTTAAAAACGGTACTCTTAATACTGAACTTCTCTTATGCTAGTATCCAAATGTCATGGCCAGAAACGCCAACTTACGTTGTCCATTATCATTTGCCCATATTCCCAGGTTGGCAGGCGATCCGTCGACTCCAAATTTGTACTCCGATTTGGAAAGTACTGCACTAACGTTGACGACCTTTGTGTGACTAACAGCAGTCATTCCGTGATCACTTGTTACAATAATATTCGGTTTCTCTCCCGGAAAATGTTCTTGTTCGATTCTCTGCATTAGGTAGGCGATACCGTCATTTGTCTGTTCGATTGCATCGAGAACTTGAGTTGAATCTGGCCCATAACTGTGACCGGCCGAATCCGGCTGATTGAAGTAAAGCATGCAAAAGTTAACATCGGGCTGAGTTATCCACTCCATAATTCTGTCCACTCTAAAGCGCAGAGTAGGGGCGCCGCTGTAGAGACCGAATGAGACGTATTGCATTTGATCGTTATATCGTGCTTCACTCCCGGGCCAATAAACCATTCCCGTTTTTCCTCCGTGGCGTTGATTAGTTAACCAGATTGGTTCGTTTCCATTCGTTGTAAACCACTTGGATTGCATATTCTTGGTGGCATTTGTATATTGATATATATCATCTGTAGCTTTGTCGTAGAAGGTGTTTCCCACTAGACCATGCGTTTCAGTATATCTTCCAGTAGCAAGAGAAAAGTGTGAAGGAAATGTTAACGAAAGCATGACGCTTTGAACCTTCTTAGCCCTGAATCCCTGTTCGGTCAGTTTTAAAAATGCAGAGACATTTCTGTTCGCCGCGATAGCTTTTTCAATATAGTCGTGCCTAAAGCCATCGAGCGAAATTAAAATAACTTTGTTTCCGCAGCAAAACTGCAAAAGCAATAATAGACACGTCAGAATCTGAAACATTGCCCTCTTCGTGACTATATCTTCAGGCGTGCATAAGCGCTTAAATACGCGGCCGGCATGTCGACCTTGACTAATTTTCGAGCTGTCAAGGCCACGGGTTGGTACGATAGGTTGCCACATTGGGTGGCATGTGATCACAGTGCTGAAGTATCCTGAATAGTTAGATGCTTCCCGTAAATACATAAGCAGTAAGTCTATAAGACAACTTCATTTTAAAGGGAATGGAAAATATTGGAAATCTGATTAAATGGTATTCAAAGTGAGCACGGAGGTTAACAAAGCATAAACTATTAATTTGGGATTTTGGTGGAGTTGACCAATTCACGAGACTCAGTCGAGCAATGGTTATTATTAGGTCTTGCCCTTGCTGTCGTGTGTTTGAATTCCATCCGGAGGCGGGGTCTTAATAGTTGATTCTGACGACGGGAAACATTTGTTTTAGAAAATCCGTAGGCCCCCAAAGTGTGTTCAGACCATTTATAGGGCGGTCAGACACCGTAAAGAGAGGTTTGCCAAACGCAAGTCAATGCGGGGCTTAAGCATTAGTTCTGGTTTAGTATGTCTGAGGCTAATGAAGGCCGGGCCTTTCCAGCGAACCAGTCTCTGAAGGTTATCTCCGCAAATGTGAAGAGCCTCTTCAACTAACTAGACGAACGAAGAGACTTAGTTGATTAAATTAAGCCAGACATTATGGCATTCACAGAAACGTGGCTTACAAAAGATATTGCAGATTCAAAAGTATCACTAAGAGGATATCAGCAATTCAGGTGAGACAGACTAAGCCGAGGAGGAGAAGAAGAAGAAGAAGAAGAAGAAGAAGAAGAAGAAGAAGGAGGAAGAAAAAGAGTCATAATTTATGTCACTTGCAAGCTGAACGCTATGGCTGATGTACATAGTCTGGTACGGGATGTGGAACTGCTAAGCCTTACCATATCTGCTAAGAATGTCCGATTACTGATGCTTTCGGTGGTGTGCCGTTCACCTAACCATATTTCCGACCCAGATCCCAAGCTCGTAATTGAACCTAACAAAGTTAGTGAAAGATGTCCTTATTGTTGAGGGATTTTAACGCTCCTGGCATTGATTGGCTAACGTGGACTGCACAAGGGCCGCAAGACAGCTTTAATCACAAACTACTACCATGGGCAGCGGACACACTTCTCTGCCAGAATGTTACCCTTGGAACACGGGCCAGGGAAGGACAGCAGTCGAACTGCCTGATCTTATTTTCACCCGAGAGGAGGAACATGTGTTAGACCTGCAAAACCGACCGCCATTAGGGTCAAGCGACCACATCACGCTCTACTTCGAGTACTCACTGTTTTCCAAACCCGTTCAACCCTATAGGTGGGAGGTAAACATTTGGAAAGGGGACTATTTTCTCATGAGGAGGGAAGCGGCAGCTGCATCATGGGAGACTGAACTGCATGGTCAGGCAAACGACACCTGCAATACTTTCAGTTCCTTACTGAAAAGACATTGCTTATTCCAACTGTCCTCTCAGAAGAAAGACTGTATGTTCCCACGTATGTTTTCCCATTTTTATTGGCACCCATTAACACATACTTTACATTTCTTTTTGTTTGCCTCGGAAAATCATGGCCCTCTGTTTTCCCCCAACCCTCGTACTATTTGTTTGAATCTCCCGTTTACATCCCGCGCAACTTGACGCTACCCGTCTGACTATACGCCACATCTTTCTGACTGTACGCCTTGATTCTTTATGGTTCTGTAGATTACAAAAGTGACTATTTTGTTATTTAAACTCCTATATAATCACACATTTAACCCACTCAATTATTTAAGACATCATATCCACCCACGACGTAACAGTCACCGTGGGGTATTTTTATTTCTGTCTCTGGCACGTGCTGTTAAATATCGTCGGTTCTATTCTGTAAATGCAATTGCTATTTGGAATAAACTACCAATGAGTGTGAAAACTCTGCAAAATTATCCTTTATTTAAGGGAACTATTACTCGATTTTTGCATTCAGAAAAGCTTCCTCAAATTTTGGGTTCTGAATCCACTGATCGACTCTACCGTACCGATGGCGTTTGTGGTCTCTGAACACTATGGCCGGTCTTTCCAGCTGTTCCTCAACGCCTTTACTTTGACTATCTCAAACTTCATGGAAGGAGTTGACGTCCGATGATCTCCGATACCGTACAACCCCCTCTCCCCCCTTCTTGACGGTCGAAAATATACCGCCAGCAGTTTGTTTTCTCCTGAACCCTTCAAACCATAAAAAAACATCATCAACTATATTTTTATTCTTCAGGAGTTTTTTTTCACTGCTGGTCGGATTTTTGTTTAATCGCTTCCCTTGACAATGCCTGTAAACTGACATTTAATAAATTAAATTAAATTTAAATCTTGCTAATCATGCCAATTATAGAACCGTGTTTCCGTACAATTCTGCACTTATTTACATCGTTTCCGCGTACGGAATGAACGAAGTAAGCCGACTCAGGCGACTGAATCTAGACAGACTAGAGATCAGCTAGGTTCAACAGACTGTGTGAGTAACGTGAACAGGCAACAAATAGCAGTCGAATGTACTCCACAAAGTTAACCAAATACGAGGCTTCAGAAATGGATGATTCACAGAAATCTCTGTCAGCTCCCAATTTGGACAGATATTCTCCCACGCTTGGAAACAATGACACCATCCTCGAATCAAATAAGTAAAAGATACGGATTTTGGAGGAGCAGTTGAAAGAGAAAATTAAATTGGGCAGTCCAAAAGCAGTATTTGATACGACTCCGCCGGAATCAAAGCCCGTTGTTTCCGGCGAGTCCTCAGTGGTTGGATGTTCGCCGCCGCTGCCTCTTCTTGATCCAGAGTCTAAGCAATCACGCATTACTGAGCTTAACCTTTTACGACACCCAGAAACTACAAAGGCAGACTGTCATTATTGTTACCAGCGCCCTATGGCCCCTCAGTTTTCCCTTCCACAGCGGGAAATAGTGTACTTTGACGGAAACCCCCTCAAATATTGGCTGTTCTTAAGAAGCTTTGAGAGTGGAATTGCAAAAGGGATGAGCGACGACGAAAGTCGGCTCTCTTACCTAATCCACTATTGCCGGGGTGAGGCGAGAGAAGCCGTTGAGAGCTGTGCCATCTTGGAGCCTAGTGAAGGGTATCATGAAGCTCTCAAGATCCTTAGGCGACGGTTCGGCCAACCGCACTCCTTGCCAGGGCCCACATAGATAATTTGCTTGACGGTCCAGTCCTAAAACCTATGGATCCTACCACGCTGATGAAGCTGGCTGGGGAGATGAGGAACTGCAAGAACACGTTACAGCAGTTAGAATATTAAGCGGATTTAAATTCATCTAGGACGCTAGCTGCAATCGTCAGGCGACTACCTTAACCACTTCAGTTCAGGTGGTCAGAATCCGCTTCATCAATATTACGCTTTGGAAGGGAGCCAACGTTCTTAGATCTAACTGAATTTGTGGACGAGAGAGCTGATGTATTGATGGTACACCAATCCTACTTCTCAGGTCCAGTCCCAGCGCACAGTCGTTCCCCGGGCGATCGATGACCGATGCATAAGGCCTATACGCATCACACAAAAACTGTAGCAGTATCCACAGTACCTAGAGTCCCGACGCTGCGCCGACAGTGTCTGCAGTGCGAGGAGGCTCATTGCATTGATCAATGTGACATGTTTGTCGCCCTCAACCTGCCACAAAGACTAGCTTTCGTTGAACGTAATCGATTATGCCATTCTTGTCTGAAAACCAACCACGATGCCATCAACTGTAGGTCGCGCAAGACATGTGGTGTCGCGCGGTGCTCCATGCGCCACCATTCACTGCTGCACCGGCCAGTAGACGGGGCTGGTGAGTTCCAAACGAAAGAGAACCCAGAGCAGAGTATTGAAGCAGCCCACTGTCTCACAACATACGGCGCAGACCAAGTCGTTTCTCTAGGAGTGTTTCCAGTAAATGTGTTTGGTCCTCTCGGTTCGGTTAATACATATGCCTTCCTTGATAGTGGCTCAGGTAGTACTCACATCGATGAATACTTGTTGAAACGATTGGGTCTCGTTGGCCAACCGGCAGTGTTGTCAGTATCCACTGTCTTTCAGACAGCAGAAGTAATTTCCGAAATCGTGGGTTTTCAGCTGTCTGCGATAGAAGGGCAGGAGCCACTGGAAGTAAAAAATGCCTGGTCCATTAGCCATCTTCCTAAGTTGAAGCGCTTTGCCTTAGCTAGAAACCAGGCAGCACGTTGGAAACATCTACGTGACATTGAACTCCCCCTTGTCGAAGGAGCGAAGGTATCAATATTAATCGGAATGGATGTACCTGCTGCTCACTGGGTACTCGAACACCGATACGGCGGACATGAAGATCCCTATGCAGTTCGTACCCCTCTTGGTTGGGTACTCATGGACCAGTAGCTGAGCACCATCGTCGAGGAGTGAACGTTGATTTTTTGAGCGAGAAAGATTCCGTCATAGAAACGCTAGAACATATGTGGAACTTTGGTTTTGGTGAGCCCAAACCTTTGGATAAGCAATATTCGGTGGAAGACAAAAGAGTT